TTTCTCCAAATTGTGGGTGGGTGGGTCAAGCTAAATAATTGAAAATCGAAATTCACTTTCCATGGAAAAAAGAAAAAAAAGAAAAAGAAAGAAAGATAGATCTTTTGACTTGTCTGAACTACGCGCAAGCGTTCCGATATCGCGATGCGTGTTTCTTTTCCAACTTCGTCCCCTGTATGTACTGTCAGTGGCATAGCCAGGATTTTTTCAGTGGGGGGGGGGGGGGGGGGGGGGGGGGAGGGGGGGCTGGAACATTTCATGGGGGCGTCATGTAGATCAATGATCATTTTTTCAGAAACTCAAAATCTCAGTGGGGGAGGCGACTGGGGGGGGGGGCTGTCGCCCCCCCCCCCCCCCCCCCCCCCCCCCCCCGTGGCTACGCCACTGCAGGTCATACAGTTAAAGTTTATGTTAACTTGTATGAAAAGTCAAAGAAAAGTAACTCCCATGATTTATTTGACACCAAGTTTGTGTTAACTTGCCGGTAACGCCCTAAAAAAATTTCCAGACAAATATGTTTATTTTGTAACATTTTCTGTTCGTCTGTCGGTCTTCTATGCTGTTATGTTTACTTTTAGGTACCTTCAATGGTGCTATGTTTAATTAACCTGTTCATTTGTGTAATTAAACTAATAACGCACATATAGTTGCCAAATATGGCACTAACAAGTTTGAGGTCGGCAATTTCCTCTTTAAAAATCTGGGTACGTCGGGTTACCGTACACACAATTATCCTGGAAACAACAGTACCAAAGTACAGAAAGTCGTACGCAAGGGCTCCCCAGCAAGTATCGTTGACGCCATTATGATTCCAAAATTTCTCACTGTGTCACACAGCTCCAAAGGTGTCGAATGTTTGGCTGTTCTCATTATGCACCCTCCCTGCTGATGTTTATGGCATGTTGACGCGATCCGGCAGGAGGAAGCACGCGAGATGGTTCGGAATAAATCAGGTGTTTGTGCCGTCTGGGTCTGCCAGGTTCAACCTTTAATTATAATATCAATGCCGTTGCCCTGGGGATGAACCAACTTTATGATTACGTGAACTTGGGCTTTTGTTCGTCATAAATATTGCCAACTTGTATGCCTATTGCTCATCGAGGGTAGGTTCCCTAACTTTTTTGGCTGCTATTTTGAACCACATCACGCCAGCCCATGAGTAAACAGACCTCTCTATGGCCAAGCTATCATGGCTGAACATACACGGATTTCCGGAACACTGTAAAGGAAACGAAAAATTCCCCATGAACTTGTGATTGCCAATTATTTTATTTCCTCAATCAAATTTGTGGTTGGCTTTTCAGAGCCAGCATTAGTCCATGATCAATTAGGGCCTAAAAAGCGATATTAAATGCTCCGTTTTGTTCCACTACATTTTGTTGATCATCGTTTGGCGTAGTCTGGTTCCCAGACCAAACGATTCCGACTATTCCTGATGAATCTTAGGTCAGGTAGACTCCGGTAATACAATGTATTACAATTTACATCACGTGACTAAAATGGGAGGAATTCCTCCTTTTTCCGAAACTGTCCGAATTTCGCCGAATTCATTTCGTCGACAATCGGATAGTGTCAGAGTATTTCCGAGTATAATATATGTTTTATTAACTGCTAATTGCTTATTAAAAACTTCAAAAAAAATAGTTGATAATTAATATCCATTGCTTTTATTTAGAAAACTTGAAATTCAACGACGATTTTGCACTCGGATCGTATACGAGGGGCGAACTTTTTGCTGCGTCATGCACTAGTTTGAATTTGACGACCGTTACCGGCATTTTCCAAAACGCGGCGTGGTCTCAATTAATTCGGCTCCTCCTGCTAACAGTGCTGTTTGGGTGTCCAACTTTGAAGATTCCAGGTTAAAATTAGTCAATGTTTTTTTACAGAAGTATTAAACTGTATGATATATGAAGCAAATGATTTATTTTTAAAAAAAATTATCGGAACATTAAAAGCTTTATGTGATAAAGCGAATTCGGAAACGAAGTCGAGCTTTGCAAAAGGGCCGTCAATGTCGTCATGTTTATTTTTAGCCACGGAGGCTGCCTGACCTACAATTTAGACGTGTAGACGTCGGGGGAAATTGTCAGGTCGGGGAACCAGACTACGTTTTGCGCAATTTGGCGCGTTCAATCTTTTTAAAAAAAAATTTTAAATTTGCGTCAGTTTTGGCATTTAAACAGTAAATGTCGAAAACAGCAACTTCAATGCAGTCAAGTATTGTGAGTTTACGTGAAAAGTGTTTTTAAGAAATTTTGCATGAGACAAATCTGTGTCTTTAATGCTGTATCAATGTCGGATTCAGGTTATTCATTTCTTCCAAGGCAAAGTGTGTTAGCATAGATTTTTTATTATACCCCAAATTCTAGGTATCTAAGTAATTCGTTTGCTCTTTTTTGGAATAAAGATGATAATTTGTTTGATATGTGGTTGCGAGAACCATTATTTTGTTTGGCGCCAAATGCATGATTTATTACTCCGGAGTTGCGCAGTGGCGCCATATACTTGGCGTTCGCTGATTGGACGAAAGGCATGAGCTCAGCGCGTGATACCAACGTGATACAAGCAATAGTAGACAAAAATCACGCCATAAATAAACTGGGGAAAAATGTTTGCGCAACGATGGCACAAAAAGGACCTTTGTTTTGTAGGAATGCTAACTGCCTGGGAATTTCCAGATGTGAGAAATTCCGAGGCTGAGAAAATTCTAGAAAGATATGGATTGCGGAACACATCCAGGGGGAAAACCGGCATTTTTTAAGCTTTCGCAACAGGTTGACGTGGACAGAAATTTGATATTTTTTTGCTGCCAGTAGAACTGAACCGAAGGCTGAGTCATTGTAGCCAAAATCAATATATCGTCAACGAAATAATAACCTTCCATATGGATACTAAACTATACATCTGAACCATTTTTGTTTTAAAGAGCATTAGACTGAAAAAAAGAGATACCTCTATCCAGATTCATGCAGTGTTATAGGGGATACAACATGACGAAAAAAATTTTAAAGAAATTTATAAAAAAGTCCCTTTTTTTTACATTTTTGTGTTTTTGTTTTTGGTAAACATTTACTATTATGGCCTCGAAATTAAAATGGTATTTCTATTAAGATGAAAGCTATGGGTACAAGACTGATAAATATGACAGATCTTTTAATGCAACTAACTTCAGAACAAACACTTCTTATACGGTGGATTATGGTGAAAATGCCACAAATTTGTGGCTATTTTGCAAATTACGAAATAACGCGGATAATTACTTACTGGAAAGGGATAAAAAAAGTCACATAAACAGTTATGTCCGTCTCCTACTTCAGTATTTCCTTCCTTGAACGAATGTTATATTTTGGAGTCTTAATATTGCAATTTCTTTGCTGGATTGCTAATTATTTCCGCATAAAATGGACAAAATAAATAAAGAAAAGTTACATTTAAAACGTTTGTATATTAATAACCAATGATCTATATTAAAAAAAAATTCCATCTTATAAAAAAAAGTTGATTCAGTAAAACCGTAAAGATGGAAATATGTACTTAGAAGTATCCGAAATAGAGCAGCAGCTTTTGTATGAGGTTGGAAAATGCAGTCACAAAGCACCCCGACGTTCCTCCGTAAACGTAACGTAAACGTAAACGTAACGTCCTTCAGAGATTGTGCGCAGTCACGGCGTTTTGCGTGAAAATCGCGAGTGCCGAAAAATGACGCGCCGCGTCTTTTTTCGGCACGTGCACCAGAAAAGGTCAGGTGTGTGTGAATTCAACCGGGAGGCACCATTCTGTATACAAGACAAAAATACCGTCTAGAAAACCCAAGTAGAGAGATATTACCAAGTGTTCAAAAAAAAACGTGCAGCACAAACTATATGAACTGGAAAAGTTGTTCAACTTACCATAGCTCGGTTGTGGGTTTTTTTATTGAAAGGAAGAAATTAATATGAATTTGTTTTGAGTTTCAAGATCGAAGGAAGAACGAATTTGAGCGAATCTATTTCTCAGCTACCTCACGTGACAGGCACAACCTCGTATGTCACATGTCATCCACCTCATCCAGAAAACGACAAAACCACGGTCATCTTTGTGGCTTCCAAAACTGCAACCTGTCATTCCCAACAGCATATCAGCTGGCAAAACACAAGAAAACTGAAGGTCACCAGTGCAAAAGAGGAAGACCGACAACTTCACGCCGTCACTGAACTAGACACACATGTACATGGTGTTCAAGTACATGTACATGCAAGTGCATGTACATGTACAATCGAAATTAGGGGTGGGTGGGTGGGTCAAAATAATTTGGAAAAAAAGTCGAAATTTTAAAACATTGAAAATTCTGAATGGCCCCTAAAATATTTAGTGTTGATTTTGTTTCGACTACCGCTTTCAAAACGGCGGCGGAACGGTTTCTGAAGCCAGACAGGAGGGACAACGTTTCTGAGTGGGCATGCGTCTGGGCAAAAGGAATAGAATCAAATGCTTGAGGGAGGGGGCCTTTCGCACCCCACGCTATATCGCCGCCTACGTCCCAAAATTATTCTGACATGCATTCTTGTTGAGATTAGAAAAGTGGGAAAATGCCAAAATAATCAATTCTTCGAAATGTTGTGTATAGAGCCATAACAGGTGTATGTGTAAGTTGCCCAAAATGTGTGATTTAGTAACTTACATATCTCCTTAAGTGTCTTTTCAATATTTATACTAAGAAGTACTGAGCAGAAAACAGTGACCTTTTAGATGTCTATCTTCTCAACGTTAAAGCAGAAAGTGCTTTGCTTCTGTCACCCAGACTTCTGCTGGCCCCGCCCTTATAGAATGACATGACTCTAGTGAAAGCTAATTTGTACAGTACTGTACATGCGTACACATTTCATCCTGCCATTATTGTTTACACCCACGATCACTTCCTGAAGGTCGCTGTAGTCAAGAAATAAGGTCAGGACAGTGAAGTCAGTTCCGGCGGAGCAGATGAACTCTTAAAGGCTTTCTTCAGTTTCTGGTCATGACTAACAACTCTCGAATGAATCATCGGGGTTGCGGATGTGCTAAATGATATCTCGAGCCGCTCCCTGTTTGTACCCTGCACTCGTCTTAGAGAGTCCGTACGGTCCTCATCCCTTCTGTTCAACGTCCCGGCCTTTAAGATCATTTTCCTGTAGATTTTTGTACCATTCAAAGTCATCATGGCCAAGTTTATTCTTGGAATTAGCCTGTTCTTGGTGCTTCTTTTGACGGTGTCGGCTCAGAAGCCGTTGTTTTCGACCGAGACTGGGTATGATTTGTCTTTTGAGTTATCTGAGTTGAATCAACGTACCCTCTCCTGGCAAGCGCAGGCGCGGGCTACTGGTGGCTCTGCACCCGAGGGGTTGGAGAATTGCAGACCGGTCGGTTCGTATGTCATTTATCGTGAGGGGACTAGCTTCCCCGACGAGGCGGATGTTGCGGCACTGAACACCTTTCAGAATAAGATGCGATCGCAGACAATCAATCCAACCTTCCGATTCCTGTCTCAGATTCCCTCCAGCCGAATCCCCATCGCTAGCGCGGGGGATCTGGCAGAGTTTGGCCGGCGTGAGATACAAGAACTTGCCTCTCGCATCAAGATCCGATTTTCTGAATTCTTCCCTACTCCTGACATCGATTTGAGTAAGTTCAGTTTCCAATCTACCAATGGCTCTAGCAGCATCGAGAGCGCTGTGGCATTTGCTCGGGGACTTGTTGGGTTGAATCAGATATGTGAGACCCTCTCGATGGAGGGTAATGTCACTGTTGCCTGCTCGGAGAACAGCCGCTTTACCCGTTATGTAACCCCAACCTCCGCCTTCATTTCTAACGACCCGGCCGACATGGATTCCTTACTTCGCCCTTACGACACTCCGAGTCGGAAAATATGCTTGGACGTCGCCAATAAAGGGAGGACAGACCAAGAGGTTATGAGGTTTAAGATGAGTGGGGATGCAAGGCAACTCCGAGACCGTATCGCCCAGAAAATGTCCATGCCAGGTTCACGGCAACTGTTCAATATCTCTGGAGGTAAGGGCTTACAGGACTTTGGAGACTTTTAGAAGGGCCTATGTTTGGAGTGTTAACTTGCAAAATTTTATATTGGGTTTTGCCCTTCGCCGGCAATACAAAATTTACATCTTCCCGATGCAAGTACCATTATAAAATGAGTATCTTGCAAAAGCTCAAAACTCAAATCATGTTGGAATAATGTAGGTTCGTTTACTTTTCATGCATTTGTTCGTTTCCTATTAAAAACACCCCAAATCCACAGAAGAATGTTCAAAACTTAACCTGTTGAAGTTTCAGCTCAGTGCAAAATGTCGCGTATTTTCATTGGTTGTAAAAATGAGGCCTGCGATTTTTTTTTAACATCCTAGATGGTTTTAACACTAATTGCACCGCACCAAAGAAGCTGGTTGCCGACTGATTTTTATTATCCAGGAGAAATTTCAATGCCTTCGATGCCTTAATTGTGTTTGGGAAAAAAAGGTACTCAAAATCCGACCATGGACAATTTTGAAATTAGCATCATTTCCGGACAAGTATCGATTCTAAAATAATCTCTTGCACATGATTGTTTCATATACAACTTAACTTAATTAATTGAACTGATTATAATCCATGTGTAGACGAGGTGCAACTTTTGGCCAAGATTTGCGGCTACCATCTGGCAATGTTCAACGACAACAACACCTGGTGTCGACTGTTTGACTATGAAGACCTAAACGTGGCCGAGTACCAGCGGGAACTGGGTCACTACTGGAACGAATCCTACGGGTTTCCCATCAATTCAATGGTAGCCTGCCCACTCATCAATGACACGCTGGAGTACTTTGACCGGTTGGCGGCCAGGGGAGCTGGGGCTGGAGCGAGGTAAGAAAGGCCCAATAGACCTTTATCATACTGCCACCATTTCAGTCATGTTCCCTGTATCCAATAACAGTACTGAATGATATTTGTTTTTGTGCAAAAAAGGAACCAGACTTTTTGTCCTTCTAGCCTCGCTTTGGTTACGTTGATATGAATGGGAAAAAATCAAGATGGCCACAACATGATAATGAGCTATAGCACATGTGGAACGGAAGAGCTGATACTTGGCTCATCTGGGCTTTATTGAAGTCAATTATCGTATGGCTTTATAGTCTTTGTCCAATTAAAAAAAAAGAGTGGATGTTGTATCCTTTATAATTTACACTTCCCGGTCAAGCCCCTGCGGTGGTTGAGGGCGCTATCCACAAGACGAATCAAATGAGCATTGGGAACTTTGACACTCAAGACGGGACAAGAACTTCAAAGCGTAGGCCTACCCAGGCGGGCTATCATTATTCAAGCTAGTGCGAATTCGAAAGTACATTGTGTATGCACGGTGTCTACAATCTTGAATAGTGTTCCACTCCAGGGGGTTCATTGGGTCATTATACTAACACACGCTTTGATTGGTCAAAATCTCTAATTCAGTGATAGTGATGGTCAAACTTTCTTCCAATTACAGCCTTCCTCTCATGAAATTCAAGTTCACCGATGAGAACACTCTCATACGGCTGGTTAGTCTGCTGGGCATAGCCAAAGACCCACGCCAACTCGGATTTGGTAACTACGCCCAGAGTCGCAACCGTCAGTTCCGCACGGCTAAGATGGCACCTTTCGGAGGCAATCTGGCGCTCAACCTGTTCCGCTGCGAGTCACCACAAGTGCTGTTCTTCAACGACCAGACCTTCCGAGTGCAGGTGCTGCTCAACGAGCGTCCTATCAACATCACCTTCTGCCAGGATGCCTTCTGTGATCTGGAAGACTTCAAGCGAGAGTTGATGGCCCAGGCTGGGCAGTGTCAGGTCCAGGAAGCTTGCAACGTGGCATTTGGGCTGAATCCTGACGGGACACGGCCTGGAAATAGAGGTGGAGGGGGCGGGAGAGGCAATGCTTCCGGTATCACACCGTCGCGGCTGCTGATAGCTCTTACTGCAATGATGGCGATGGCTAAAAGGAGTATCCATGGTTTATAGATAGCTTAAGCAACGGGGTTTTCACTTATACTGTTTGTAGGTAAAGTTATATTAACAAGTTAGTAACACACTTTATTTCACGGGGGCGCTCTTCGCATATACCATACCGTTTCGCTCGTACTCACTACTCTATTCGTAAAGGGTAGGCCTATACTGGTGTGACGATACATGTCTTGGTATCCCACTGCCAATACAGGATAGATTTTACTTAATGAGTGACATTGCTCGTCCCAACCAATAGTATCCAAGGACGCTGGCGATGTCTGATTTCTTCGAGCTCTATCTCATTGGATGGTTGGGGTCAGTATTTCTACGTGCATAATAAACCATAGGCACAGAATGCGCGTGCATTGATAATGGTGGTGAGCTACCCACAATGCTTTGCAAAACCTGCACTTCCTTCACAAAAAAAGTTAAAAGGGTTTGTCGGTCACAGTGCTGGTTGGATAGGGGGTGCGGTGGTCACACGAGGAAATTGCGTGGAGGGTACGAGCGATTCCACGTGTCCTGGGATCGAGAATGAGGGCGTCCTTCACATGCACCGTCGCTCAGTTTGACAGACGAGTGTGTTGCAGCGCTTATATTATAGGGATATCAAATTAATTCTATATTGATCTGGACTACCGAGTACCGTTCACCGGCAATAAACATACATTATGAAAACAAAACATTTGCCACAAAAATACAGGCGGAAACCAGTTTGTGTGTGTGTCTCAGGACCTGAAGTTTGACGACGAAACTATACTTTTGTTGCGCTATCGGCATTCTAAGTGGGATACACCCTATTGTCTTGCTTTCATTAGTGATTATTGATTAATTAATCGTTTCAGGTTAAAGGTCAAAACTGACTGAACAACTGATTGGTTTTGAATTATGTAAATATTAAAGGAGCAAAAAAAAAATTAATATAGGCCTTATGGATTGCTATGCTATAGCTGTAATTATTGTTTAGCGTGCAACAGAAAGTAGTCTGAATAATAGTTTTCATCACGAAGTCTCGTTTGTGGACACTATGACAAAAAAACTGTCCTTTCGCGGCGACATATATTCACTGCCGAAAAAAAGAGACAATTCTATAACCCGCCTAAAAACAAATTGCGTAAACCACAATAGTTAAGAAAACACACCCTTCGTAACAAAAAATATTTGTCTTGGATGATAAAATTATTCAAACAAGCAGAGTTCAATACATTCAATAGTTTGCTGATTACATTGTTGTCTGATACCCGTTGTCACGCCATGTATTTCAAATCATGGCGGATGCCGTGGCATTTAATTTCCACTGTATCCCCCATTCATAAATCGAGAATCAATGCCACTCTTATAATCCAATGTAGTAATCTCTACATTTTTTGTCTAGAATGATTATGACTATACAGTAGCAGTTTTTTCTCATTATACCGTAAAGATAATATTGCAGACATAGTTTAGTAGAGAATTTGTAGATAGTACATATAGTTTGATATGCAGGACAAGGCCGTTTTAAGGAGCATATGATGATACCCACGTCACTGCATAAAGGTATTGGATGTCTTATGAAAATGCCATGAGAAACTGGCCTATAATTAGGGTTTTTATGAATAAACGATATCATTTAAACTGAGTAAATTTGTTTCCCATTTTATTTTTTTATGATAAGATCAGATCAAAGGGTACATGTTGGGTGGGAACTTTGGGGGGGGGCTCATTTTTGATCTTCAAAACTTGAGCTGTCGGAGCGCTGATCGTCATTCCAGTCACAATATTTAGTGTTGCAAAACGGTCTTCTACGTGCGAGCGCTATAGGGGTACACACCGGTAAATCGATCCGCCAAGCTCATGAATAAAAGTTATACCCTCAAAATATTCTATATTAGAGAGTTCTGAGCGCCGTAAAATTGGGGAATTGAAGAGATATGGTAGTGAACCTCTGGCCCGGACTTGGGGCTTCCAATTCTGAGCATTTTGGATGATATTGGGCTCGAAAGTGGCGCTATTTTGCCATGTTGTGGAGGGATCGTTTTTCAAGATGGCTACTTTTCCGCTTTGGGGAAAATAGGGGTCGTCTTCTTTGCGTGATAATATCTCGAAAAGTCAATGGTCAACCCACCATAAATTGAAAAGAAATTGAAAGATGACACATTGATCATCATTTTTCTGTGCAGTTTGAATACCTGTGAGAGTTTTGAGTATTTTTAAAAGAATTTTGAAATATGGGCATTTAGCACTAGTGTCTATGGGAGTTTATTTGCAGGTATGCACCCTATAAAGAATCACAAAGATGGCCGTTTCGCGCATGCGCTGTGCCGCGGCAGTGGTCTTTTCAGTGGGCGGAACCTACGGGAAGGGGGGAAAAGTGTTTAAAAGGTATCAACAAGGGTTTTTTTCCGTAACGGATGCTTCCAAATCATAAGGGAGCAGTAGGCTATCACCCGATTACAACAATTGATAGTTGAAAAGGGGGGGGGGGGGGGGTATTTTGAGCTTAAAAGTAGCTGGAACTCAATTTATTGTCGCTGGGGGCGCTCTACAGCTTAGCAGGGGCAAAACAATCACTATTTTCGGGCTTAATATCGACCTCGGATAATATTTTTCTTTCATTTTTTTTTTCAAAATATTGACTTTGGAGATATTCTGCTTGTCCTGAATGTGATTTTGTGTTAAAATTTAAAAGTTGCCTGCTATTATAGGGTACACACCGGTAAATCGATCCGCCAAGCTCATGAATAAAAGTTATACCCTCAAAATATTCTATATTAGAGAGTTCTGAGCGCCGTAAAATTGGGGAATTGAAGAGATATGGTAGTGAACCTCTGGCCCGGACTTGGGGCTTCCAATTCTGAGCATTTTGGATGATATTGGGCTCGAAAGTGGCGCTATTTTGCCATGTTGTGGAGGGATCGTTTTTCAAGATGGCTACTTTTCCGCTTTGGGGAAAATAGGGGTCGTCTTCTTTGCGTGATAATATCTCGAAAAGTCAATGGTCAACCCACCATAAATTGAAAAGAAATTGAAAGATGACACATTGATCATCATTTTTCTGTGCAGTTTGAATACCTGTGAGAGTTTTGAGTATTTTTAAAAGAATTTTGAAATATGGGCATTTAGCACTAGTGTCTATGGGAGTTTATTTGCAGGTATGCACCCATAGGATGCGATTGTGTGTGTGACCTGATACCTAACGATGAGTCAACTACATGTACATGCATTTACGCGGCGACTGTCTTTTATTATTTTTTTATTAAAGTTTGGCTCAAAAATCGATGCATGAAATAGCGTCAGGTGTTAAAAAAAAAAAAGTTTCAACATTTTCTCCGCTAGACAATATAGGTCTAGGCCCTATGGATTTCCTGTGACCCGGCTTTGAAAATCCAAAACACGATTTTTTTTTTTTTTAATTTGGCGTAGCGCACATCTTGAAAGTGCTCATGCAATGTATTTGTTTTAATGTAATCCTTGACAATACCTTTGAGTCCTATTTAAAGTTAATTTTTCTTTGTTTTGCCCTTTTTAAGGCTATTGTAACCCCTTCTTGTTTTTTTATGCTAATGAATTTACATATTCATGAGCAAAAGTGTGATGTCATTTCAGGCGGTAACCCTCAATGTTACAGCTAATCCAGTACCAAAAGTATCGTTTCATTTCAATTTCTTTTGCATTTTGCAAGTAAAAAGACATACAAAAAAATAATATAAACTACAAAAAAGTGTCCAGAATTTTAGATATTTTGCTGTCAAAAAATTTCTTTTCTTGGGTGATTCGTTGTTGTGTCAGTACATGTCAGTAAGCCAATGAGCAAACTTCACTAATGTTTCAAATGAGCCAATTTGGGGGTAAACAATTGAACAGAAAACCCCTAATCTCACCAGTGTCTTCCTGTGGCATCATAGCAACAACGCCCTCTGTTGTCCGGGAAAGCATGGATTTGTTTTTTGAAAAGTTTAAAGATTGAAGCGCACTTATGAATAAAATTAACCAAAAAGGGATGTCAAATAGTTTCATACATCTAAGAAGAGTAGAAAGTTGCACAGGAAATATTCATGTCATGGACCCTTATCCATATAGCCTACAGATTTTACACTGCCGGAAAAGTAGTACCGATTTAATGACGAAAAGTTGCTCAAAATGAAGACATGACTTGTAAATACCCTGTGAAATTGTTCCGCCTGGAATGATATCGTTTGGAAGATAATCACGCAAGCTGGTTTTCAAATACTCATGCATTTACTCATCACAGAATCCAGTTTTGATTCCCAAAAAAGTTGGGCATAAGAATTACTGCTCCGTTTTCTTAAAAAGTATACATGTAGTAGACGCCGAGCTAATCCAACAGGACAAACCTGCGATGACCATGTACCCAAATATCTCTCTCATGACATACTCGGGCTGCGTGCCAAATTCAACACTTGTATCATGAAAAGCACAACTAAAATAATGATCCCTTCACCTATCTGCCGTACAATGTAGTTGCGGGCCTACTTTTAGCCAGCAGCTATCCCGCGCTGGGACCCCCCCCCCCCCCCCCCCCCCACCACCACCACCACCACCACCACCACCCCTCCCCCGCATTTAACACACACAAAAACCCGAAATAACGTTAATCAAGCTAGCAGTCCTAAGGGTAAAAAGTATTCAATAAAAACCACTCAAATTATAAACAAAATCAATTCGCAAAACTTGGGGTAAATTTCCTGCCAATTTACTTCGACCGCGCCCATCTTTTCAGTCGCGTCTCGGGGACGTACGTACATGTACATCTTCAGTTCTATACGCAGATTGAACACGCTTCTCGTACTCGTACTCGTAGTAGTAGCATGAGAACGAGATTGCAAAAAGCGACATGAAACCCAGACTCACTGAGGGTTCTTTTGGTACTTTATTGAGTGGTACCTGACTATATATGAGATGTGCATGCGTGTCGACCACTGATTTCTACTGTACTACATGCGCGACATTCATTGTACGTGTTCACTTTCACTTGAAGGGACGTCCACAAAAACTCATCTAAACAGCTAGCTGAGCTAGAGCAGCTTTCGTAAAATGTTGAACAACAGGCTAAACAGTCCGGAGCATAAGAAGCAGAGGATGGCAAGTGTAAGTTTGATCACTTTTGTGAGATAGTGTGTGCGTGTGTGTGCATGGAGGAAGGAATAAGTTTGGAAAAGGACGGACGCGTTAACTTTTCGTTTGTTGCCCTGCCAGTGTGCCACGTATTGTTTTCCCCCTTACTCCTTTTAATAGCTGTATTTGTACTGGACCGGATACCACTTGTCTGCTTGTGTCAGTCATACTAGTCAAGGCTAGACTCACACTACTGTAACTTTCATGACTGGCTCCTTTACTACTGACAGCTGACTTGCATGACTTGCTACAGGCATATGCATAGTTGAATTCTCTTGAACTTTGGTCATGTTTGTACTTGTTATTTTTTTTTAAAGATTCGAAGGAACGATTCCCATATCTAGTATCTGGCCATCACTTGTCACCCTTCATTTTGCCCTATGGCACTGTACTGTGGCATGTATGGGCATGCGGTCTGAAAATCAAGTGTTTTCTCAGTAAATACTTCAATATTTTCCCTGCTAAATATAAATGTGACTTTTTAGGAGGCCTGATATCACTTTCTGACATGTCTGATGGCTGATACATGTAGGTCACTGGAAGAAAAAATTATTGATGGCCAGATATGGGAATCTTTCACATTTTTTTGTTGTAATTCAATATTCTGATACCAAATTAAATGTAGGACAGGACGCCTCACTAATATCATCGCGATACTTTATCACGTTTCTCATTCTGAAGAGAGATTGCTCACCAACCTTCCTGAGTTGTCACTGTCTTTTGTGTTGTAGCCTTTTTTTATGTAGGCTACACTCTTGCTTTCACATTGATCTAAAAAATCAGACAGTGGTTTGATTTATTCCATGCACGACACCTGTGAAGATGGACATGCACGGAGTATGCGAACGGAGGTGGACTCCATGTTATCGCGGTTGGCGGGAAGTGTTTTTACAATGATCTAAGCTTAGCTTGAGAAACTCCAGCTCCAATGCCCATCGGGAATTCAACATGTAGAGCTGGAGGTCAATGTACAAATGTACATTGTTGCCAGCAGTCTAAAAATGGCAGAGGCCGTGAAATTTGGCCTCAACACAACACAACACAATGTTTTTTCACATTTTATTCGATCCGATGACGCGCACTGAACCGACAAATTATACAATGTGCGTCGTGTCAACGGTAACGCACGCTTCGCCGAATTAAAAACGAACTAGTATGTACTAAGGCCAAGTAAAACAAAAAATGTTTAGAGGTGAGAAAAAAAAAAGGATGCAGCTTCAAAAAAGGATGCGGGCGGGGACGATCAACTGATTGGTTTTTTTTTTTTTTACTTGGCCTTATAAGGGAGTCTGACTATACATTGTACCACTAAGTTCAGGGGACATGATGAGAGAGGGTCCCTGTTTGATTTCAACTTTGCCCTAAATCATTTTGCCCCACATCAGTTTGCCCCAGTAGTTAACTTTGAACCATGCCTGGTGATAGTTTATTGATACACGGATCCTAGACACC